GATAAAAAAGGTGTTGGAAATTAGTATCCGTATCTGAATATAGATACTCTGATAAAATATTTAAAAAAATTCTACTCCCAAGCTTCAAGTGCCTACTTCTTTCAAAAGTGTTTATATACGTATTTCAGCATTTAAAAATTATTTGAATATGTATTTTATCCAAGTACTTTACAATACTGGCGCGAGCTTTATGAATATACTTTGCTGAATAATACATGCATTTTCAATCGGAGTATATCCAATAAATCTGCCAAGATCAAGGTAGGGGTTAGCAGGTTCAATCAATAAGAATCACACTACATAATAATTATATTTACTTTATACAATGAAATATAATATTTCGCAGTGCAGGATCGGCCGAAACATGTCACGCCCGTCATAACCAGTTCGTGTCGACGATTATTTACCCAAGCCCACGATGCGGGGTAATGGACTTATGAATTATGGCCGAATAACCCGTATGCCTGGGGAAAAAAAAACCCAATCTGGATATGAGTTGCCTACCTATCAATAATGAAACTGATACGTTTATTTCGAGCCGAGTTTCACGTCAAGTCTGGAAACATTTTGATATGTCATATTATTAGTTTTAATTTTAAACTGTCCGAGATTCGACCCGACTATATAATATTTTATAATAGATATAGCGAGTGACCCTGTCTGGCTACCCGGTGTCTGCGCAGTATTGCATTGAACAAAAAAATGTCAAGTTTGGTCGCTGATATAATAATTTAAAAACACGTACCTTCAATACCTACATTCCCGCTTAAGTACTCGGCAATTTGTAAAAACTAGATTTTTTTCTTTCCGCGCCCCACAAATTAAAAAAAAAAAACTAATTGCTTCCTCACGTTCGGCGCGGTTACTTTATTATAACAGGTACATAGGTGCGTATTGTAATAAGTAAAAAAAATAAAACAAGAAAAGAAAATCAAAACACCTGCAGGGTCCAAACGGGTTTGAGCATTGATATTTTTTGTTCGAAAATCAATGCGAGTACGTTTACAATTTTTAAAATCAGTACACATATTTTCATTGCTATTTTATATTATTTTAGTACATCAGCCATAATTTTTCTAGGGGGGCACAGTTGCAAGACAAAATTGAACAGAACGACGGGTTGTCACTTAAAGTTTGGGAAACACTGCAGCTGTCTTCAACACAATAACAGCTCTAGCAGCCGAGCTCACACCGAACATTATATATACCTACGCTTGCCACCGACGACAAAATAAACATCTTATCACCTCCATGGCTTAATAATACACTATATACGTTTTCGACACACCGGCGGTGTTCATTGATAAATTATGTGGGTGTAACAAGTAAAACATTATAACCGGAATTCGCAGGAAGTCGACCACAACATGGCTGCAGGACGAATATCATCGTACCTACACAAGTGCAGTGTGAGTTGATGAAAACATAATATTGACTAGTGTTTGTATTTTTGTCTTATGAGTTATAAAGAGTTGACAAACATATTATATTGTCTAACCATATATTAGATTGAAGCTAATACCGATAAAATAATCAATACTTACCGCGTCACATAGACTAGGTGACTTTTTTTTTTTTACTAATAACTGAACATTTCGTAAAAAATGCATACCCGCTATTTTTTATAATTTCACTCTACCTGTATTATATAGTCATTCGGAAAATGACTGCACATTTGTGCCAGTTAAATGATTAAATAGAGGAGTGTGTTTTATTTGTTTATTTTTATTCAAAATCATTATCATTTATTACTATGCAGCTTGATTAATCAACAAATTCAATTTACATTTCAACTACCCACAGCTTATGTGCACGATTGATTGTAGTATTATTGTTTAAGAAAAAATTGAGTAATAGCAGGGTATAATACGCACCTAGACGGACCTATAACGTGTCAACGTCAAAATAATGATAATACATGGACCGAATATTATAAAGACGATCTGCTAACATGCGATTTGTCAATCACGACAGTTGATTTTTAAATGCAACACGCGGTCGTGTTTTGAAATAATAATAGTAATAATGTTCGAGACAAACTGAATTGAATATGTTTCAACTCAAAATTGGAAAGATCGGGGGATGCAGGGGACTTAGACCTCATAAACAATGATGTTTGGTCAGTAGGTGCACATAGCAAGCTAATTGAAAATATTAATATTTTCAATATATTTGCTTTCCTATCCAATATGTTATTGAAAATATTGCTGAATCAGCTTCAAAATATTCGGAAGTTTATTTTTCATCCAATATCTTACAACAGAAAAAAGTGTTTAGTTTATGAGGGGTACAATATTATATTGGTGTAAATTTGAAATTCTCAAACAAATAAAATTAATAATAATACTTTGTATTAACAAGAGTTTTTGTTAAAAAATGATTCGTTTATGACGTACACACAAAAGCGAGTGTAGAAAATGATCGGCTGTATTAAGTTTTCCTTTAACGTCCTCGTTTTCAACATATGCTCGTTTCGCCCAAATTAGCCAACAATTCACGTTCAAATAATAGAACATTGAAATGAAGTTCAAACGATCTAATAGTAAGTACCCGTGCTGAAATGGACTGTAAAAAAGTGAGTTAAAAATGACTTATGGTAATCACTAATTGTAGGTTAAAAAACTGTACCCGCGCTCAAACGGGCGACGCCCAATTATTATTATATTATACTATTAGAGGCACAATAATTAGTATATACGCGTTATATTATTTTATGTTGTGTCGTTATACCGCGTACCTAGGTCTATGGATAATGCTGTAGGTACATCTAATAATAAGTCCAATCTGTTTACAACCGGAAGTGCTGCTAACGGGTACAATACTACACACTACCGGATTCGGACTAAATACGAGACGTACTTCTTACTCGCACTAGCACCGAACGTATACGACTGCTTATTTTTCCTCTTGTTTATAATGTTATATTTGTAAGGTATAATTATGATACGTTTGCGGTTTGATGCCCGGAGCAAAACTCGGAATGTACGCCTATCACTTCGTGTGTTTATTTTTATATCGCCATTATAATATAAGTACACGCCATAATGATAATAATATTGTAAATATTGATATTATGTATACACACAAGGTGATCCGTTTGACTTACCATACTGCTGTTTTTTTTTTTTTTTTTAGTGAACCGATGTGATTTTTAAAATACAATATGGTTTTTGTCACGCTGTAGCTTATAGGTACCTAATATTATTATGTCTTAGCAACTTTTAAGTTTTTCATTTTTTTTTCTATTAGCTGCTCATTTGAATGATTTCATTTTTGAACAATTTGTTCGATGCCCAAATTCAGTTATTAAACATCTTAACCTTAGAGGAGCATCTTTGAATTGGCCATAAATATATACTATTTGGCCCTCTAATTAAAAAAAAAATATATATACATTGTTTACTGCAAAATGTTATAAATATAATTTAAAGTTCGACGTTATTTTTTTAGAGCAGTTCGCGTAAGCCACACTTAAGATAACAGAAAAATGTTAGCGTAATTATTCTTAATTTTAACATATGGTTTTTGGTATCACTATCGTATATTTTACATATATTACATTGAGAGTTGTATAATTACACTTCTATTTTTTTCGCATAAAATTATTTATTAAATACAGTACAAAGATTTCACAAGAGTGTATAAAAAATAAAAGCTAAATAATAATTAAAAAAATTAAAACACAGACAATTATTAAGCCGAATGCGTCGTTATAATATATATATATATACATAATATAGAAATAAAAATTAATCAGCTTTATAAAAATAATATATTAAATTATTCTTCGTGGCTTATATTTATTGGCTAATAATTGTATGTGTCGAAACCTTGAAATTACACCAGTGTCATATTTTTGAATTTCATATTTTAAAAATTATATGTTATCTCTAATTTCTTTCCTAGTTTCCTGTAGGTTCTTATTAAATTGAAACTTTTTATTTCTCACAATAATTGTAATATCAGATTGAATACTTTGAACTATATTTTTAAAAATGTAATATATTTAGATATGGTAAATAAAATTGTGAATTAAATTTGTGATGGAAAGTTCTCACGAGTAATATTGCTTTTTTCAGCTCCGATAGTTTAAGGAAATATTGAATCATGTAATTGTCTACTAAATATTTAGTACATTTTATTCTTCATAAGTTGTATTTCAGCTAATTTATCGGAAAAGCAATCCCCAAATGATCAGTTGTAGTCAAAGTAAACGCTTATGACATGAGAACCGGCCCATGTTCAATAATAATATTTTACGGATTTGGAAACCAATTCGATGGTGACCTTTCATATTCTGGTATAGACGGTTTTTTATGAAAACGTTCTCTTAATAAAGGAACATATTTTCATATATTAAACAATGACTTCTCACGTTCATTAACTTTGTAGTCACGTGAATTAATTAAATTTATTTTCCCAATATGAACCTCACGCATTGAAAAAAATATATTTTGTATTGTTAAAATCACCGTGTATAGATATATTTTAATAAACATAGGTAATCGTAAATATTATTTTTTTATTATTTTTTTTTTATTTGAATTAAGCAACTATGGCCATTGGCAACAAAGAGTTTAACTCTAAATTATTTACATGTTATATTATAAGTTACATATTAAATACTATTGATAAGATTGGACTTGGTAATAAAGGTTATCTTGTGTCTTGTGTTGACTGGGTGGAGGGCTTCTGACAGAATGTTTGAAATGGCTGCTTCTCGTCTATCCGTTTCATACGAAAGGCATTCAGTTATGATGTGTTTGATTGAGAGAGGAGTACCGCCAACTGGCACATAGGAGTGGGTCTTCCTTCTTCATCAGATACTGCAGGTGGGTTATCGATGTATGTCCTATACGAATTCTGTTGATCGCGGTTTCCATTTTCCTCGAGAAGTCTGGTGGAGAGATCCATGTGTGGATGGTATTTTTAATTTCGTTTAATTTTGAGGTACCTTGTTTCCATGCCCGTTGACATATGTTGTTTGATATTCTTCTAGTTATGGATTTGGCGTCGTATAGGGTAAAAAAGTCTAATGGGTAAATATTATCGTATTAGTTATAAGTAGGTAATGTTATAATACGTATTCTAAATATTTCAAAATATATTAATAATAATTGTAAACCTTCGAAGTATTGAATAACACATTGTTTCCAGATTTCAATAGAGGTCGAAACTAGTATCTAACTATAATAGGTAAACTAACTTTTTGGAGATAAAAACTTGTGACATTTGCGATTTTCGCATCGCGACCACAACTATGGTATACCTACATTAGTTCGATATTTAATATTTAGTTTGATCGGATTTGTTTAAGTTATCGTCCGTATAGTCAAGTACAACGAACTATCAATATGACGTTTTCAAGGTCTATATTATGTCGTATATGGTTAGGAATTATCACGATGGTCATGTACTCGAGCTCCCTCATAGACAAACACCAATCGATTCAACTGGTTTTTAATTACGTCAATTATATTTTATGTTATAATAATATTAAAATTCTGTTGTTCTTATAACAATAACTGCCGCGATATACACTGACCATGCTGCATACAAGTAATGCGAGTCCGAAGCGGGTTCGCGACAATAATTATTACCTACAGTTGTTTTTCCTAGACGAAAATATAACATAGAACGTCTATAAAAATGTTTAGTTTTTTTCGTCTGTAGGAATTCTCTAATTTTTAATCTCATGATATATCAAGGACTTATAGAGTCCACACTTGAAGTTAAATACCGGTGTTTCAGGAATTCGAATTATCTATTATTATTATAATGCCTATCTTAAACTAGTGTTATATAATACTATCTTATAGTAAACGATAAAATCAGCAAGGAAATACAATTTTTTTACTCTTAAATCTAGGTATATAAAATATACGGGAATGCGATATATTTTTACACAATTATGTTCGACTCATGGCATGCCTGCACATTAGCTCTAAACGTCTTGTATATAAATACAAGTATGCACAATAAAGTACAGATTAGGTTCAGTTAAGGTTGAAACGTATGCGTCACGATACGTTGATTTCCATGATTTTAAACGGAGAAAAGGTTTAAAAACTCATTTACGCCACATAATAATAATTATTTTCGAAGCTGTGAAAACTTTTTGTTGACCTGTGAGTGTATCGTACATTAGCTTTTTGATTTATAAACATTTAAAGTTTAGACCGGTGCAGTGTGCAAAAGTGCACCACAAATTTTCACTGTGCATCCGCCCTGTCACATCTTTATTGGTCACTACTGCATTGTCATTCCTCTCTTCTCCTGACTTGAAATGCTTAAAACAAAACAACTATATTATAATATATACGTTTAACAGTACGATACATTTTATGCAAAAACGTTTTTAAAAAAAGTATCTTGCTATTGTACACAAAATAAATACTGACTATTATATTATATTGTCTTTGGAAAACAGTTTATATTTATTGTTTTATAAGATTTCGATCTATTTGCAAAATCGTTTTGTTATATTTTTTTATTACGCGCTACTTTACAAACTATAGTCGTATATGAAAACGTTTATAGTTTATTCAAATTTTTAAATCGCGAGTGTATATACATAGAAGATTATGTGCAAAGTATAAGAGTGGTTACAGGTAAACGGATCACAACGTATAGGTACTTCGTCCACTGCAGTATGCAGTCGGATCGAAAAAAATTGTATACCTATTTAGCCGTCGAAAGTACCTACCTATAATCTGCACAAACAGGATGATTCATCAGTCATGCTCACTCCGGTTTTTCTTTTAAAATTATTTTATGTTTTTGGAAGTTTTGGGTTTTTTACTCAACAATTAAGACTACCTTTTAAAATACTTACAATTTTATGCTGTTAAGTATAGTGGTTGATGTGTATAAATCAAAATTCAAACGTGTAGTTTCTGAACTATAATATTTAATGTAAATACTTAGGATAATTAGTCCCCAATGACTTATCATAATCCTTATTATCCCTTCACTGAGACTACTACTACTACTACTACTACTCGTTCAAATTTTACTTTAGATGAATCGACATTTATAACGAGCCAATTAATCTGTTTAACGATTTACAGTAACAAACAGGACAGTTCTCTGTTCGAAAGCAAAATTTTGTATCGCAACATGCCACTCTCTAAGTGGTATACAAAGTAAATCTATTCATCTGAAAATATAGTCTCTGTAAGTATACCTACTAAAAAATTATAAAATTAAGCAATTATATACAGCAGCATTATAATAACACCTGTATGAGGGATGTGGGTGAACATGTTTGGTTAATCACACATCATGTAAACTACGTGTTTAAAACAAAACGTATATTTCGATTAACATTTTCCAGCTTCGAGATAAGTTCCTGAACGCATACATAGGTTATTACGATTTTAATACGTGAATCACAGACTACATAGGGAGCTGAATAGTCGTTTTCATTGACAAGTGAATTAAACTGCAACATTCTCGGAAATCGACCATTGCAGACGCGTCTTTGGGTAGGTATAAGACTTGCTGCGACCATAATTTAATTATGTATTAGTAGAGTACTATATAATGTCAAGGAGATGGACGCTTATTACTGTATAATATTATAATATAAAGGTAAACATAATAATAGCATGGCATCGATATGTGGACTATTATTCAGCAGCTTGTGCCTTGGAAGATAAAATGAAATATTTGAATTTAATTTAGTGGGCGTAAGTTTGTCAAATACTCCAGGTACATGACGCAAAATATGTGTACGTAGGTATACTGTAGCGATGATCAACAATATCGATATCGTGGCGAAACCTTCGTATTTTTGATATCGTTTTAGAATAATTATTTCGTGTATCAGACACAAATTAAAATTTTTTTGTTTTAAATACGATGCTATAAACGTGAAAAGTGTTTCGTGAATTAAAATGGTTGATACCGAAATGTGTATCGTAAGTAATTATTATTAATTAATTACGTTTATTATTAAATAAAATTCAATAAATAAATGATACTGATCACGATAAAATGAATAAAATCGAAAATCGATTTGGTTTTCATGAAGCATAATATATAATATGAAATAGTATTTTTTTTTAAATTCCCTTGTTTTTTGATATTATGATAGAAATTATATCGTTGGTCACCACTTGTTGCTCGGGCTGATAGTAATTATATTTTATTGCAATAACGTAATATTATTTTTATATTCTAATACAATGCATACAATTTATATTGTGCTACAGCAGTGGTTCTTAACCTTTTTCGAATGACGGAACACTTAACATTTTACAAGATTTTCGCGGAACACAACCGTAAAATAAAATAGTAGTACACACATTTTTAATTTTTTAATATATTAAACAATAAATGTATAGCATAAAATTGTTTGCATGCCATACATGTTAGTGTTAGTCACTAAAAAATAATAAAATAATAAAAAGAGTTAAAAAAAATTTAAAAATTTGAAATTGAATACTTTGTATGAGATATTTGTGCCTGATGATTTTTACAGATATTTTCAATATCTGGCCGTATGTACGATATTGCTACTCTCATTTCCTCTTCAATATTTGTCAGCCTTTCTCGTTTCTTTGTTTTGATATTCGTCAGTGTTGAAAATCCAAGCTCACATAAGTATGATGTTGAAAATTGTAATAATATTGAAATTGCTTTTTCAGAAATCTTTTTAAATTCGGTTTGAACTGAAATCCAAAATTCTTCTACTGTTCTTTCGGAAAATTTTATTTTTAGAGTTCGATCTGTTGTTAGCGTTATGAATTCTTCCTCTTCTTCTAACGTAAATTCATAACTTGACGTGTTGATGGTAGAAAATGGATCTCATCATTGAAAGTATCATCATTGACATTGCTTGTATTTGTACTTGCATTATCAGTACCAGAATCATGTTTCCGTTTAAGAAATTTGTCAATTTTGTCAAAAAAAAAACCGTGGGCAACGTACTAATACTAATGTATTTTATAACTTTTATTAGTGCAGAAAATAAAATTGTCAATATCTATACGTTTGTTATCGCAGTATGGTGGGGATTATCGTATAATATAATAATAATAATGTATATTAATATATTATATAGTATACTGACACATTATATTATTCGAAAGTTAACGATAACGTTTTTGTGTACAAAAATAAACCAACAAAACCTAAAATGATTCTATTTTGAAAGAATTTTTTTTTCACTGATTTTAAAATTTTTGCGGAACACTTATACGAAGTCCACGGAACACCTGTGTTCCGCGGAACACCGGTTAAGAACCACTGTGCTACAGTGTCAAAAGGGACGACTTTCTTCGGGCTGTTATTGTTTTGAAAATTTGAAAGTACTCGTCACATCGTTTTTATAAGTGCACATTATAGGTATGAAATATTATGCATAGGTACAATTGAGGCTCATTTATTGACTTGAGGTGAATGAAAATTTCTACCAAAAATAAATATCAGAATCACCTGCTGGTGGAAAAGTTGAAGGTATCCAAACAGAAGCCATTATCGTTAAAATTGATTTTTTACGGTGTGCCAAGTTTAGCATAGTATGCGTGCATTGAGTACCTATTTTAGTGTCATATATTATAATAAAGAATGGATTTCGACTTAAGTTCAAAAATGGCAAGAAAACAACTTTTTGAGATAATACTTATAAGTTCAATTTCCGTACAAATTTGGCAGCATAAAAACAACTACACCTAAAAAATTCCAAGAATTTATGTTCAAACATCAAACGTTAATAATGACAAAATGCCTGTATCGGGTTTTATGATACAATTTTCATTTTATATTTGGTAGTAATGTCAAGAAGTTTTGTCATGTAAGTTGTAAAATTTAATCAGGACGCACGGGCCGAGGTTCATTTATACATATATAATATATATAATAAATATACCAGGACCAAAATGGCGAGTCATCCTGCAGTACCTATAATATTAATTTATCGTGCCGAATTTGCGGGCAGAACGACTTATACATTTTTTCAATCATCCGGGATGTACAATAGTAGGCGAGCATAAAAAAAAGGCTCTCAAAAAGGATTTCTACATCGGTAGTGGTTTGACAGTAAATACTAACTTGGGTAAGGCCTGGCAATACAACTGTTGTGGCGATTCGCTCACAAATTTACTACCTATATAATATTTTATTTTGCGTTATTATTATTATTGTTGTTATTGGAAATTTGGAAATAATACCAAAGACCAATAATAATTAAAACGACGCAATAATTTTATTTTATTGCATGGCATCCGATAAATTAACAGTAGAAGAATATTCTGTTTTCTTAAATGCATGTTTGGTTAACAACAGGAAGTTTTTTTTTGTAACATTGAAATAATCCATAAAAAATTAATGATTTATCAACAAAGATTTTGAAAATATTATACACTAATTTCCGTCATATTGGTAGCGATAATGCATATTAAATATAGGCCATAAAATATTATAATAAAGGTATCCAGTAACCTTGTATTCTAATTTCATTTTTAATTATCCAAAATGTATAACTATATAGGAACACATTGCTATGCACTTTGATAAAAAATTACTTTACATTTGTGATATGAAATAAGTATGCTATATGAACAAAATAAA